AAAAAAAAAATAAAAATAAAAAAAAAATTTAAAGCAGTGAAAAAGGAGCTAGACACCTACAGCCATTTTCTGTATACTCAAAGTAATCTCCACCTTTGGGTTAATACTGTCTGGATAAATTGTTCATTTTGTTTTGATGTAGTCTATGGCAGCAATGGTAAGGCTTATGTACTTACAGCTGCAATACAGTGATTTTTAAGGAAACAGACATGCTCTCAGATTATAATTAATTGACCTTAAAAATGCAAAGTAGCTCTGCAGCATGTTCCATCAACTGTGAAAAGGAAAACAGCACCAGCAAGGGGCTACCTAACAAGCTTGGGGACCGTATCAAGACCTCCATTTTTATTAATCCATTTATTTCAACTACAGAAAGTTTTTAGGAAAAATGAACCTACAAAAGAATAAGGAATTTTGAGGTTACCACCAATAAAAAAGAAATAACAGGGGCTGGGGATTTAGCTCAGTGGCACAGCACCTGCCTGGCAAGCGCAAGGTCGTGAGTTCAATTCCTGGTACCGGAAAAAAAACAAACAAACAAAAAAAACAAGAAATAATAACCATAGTAAAGCTACCAATGGTTTATTAAGTTGAGGTCATAAGGAAGGTGTTTTGAGTTCCAAGTAACATCTTCCTGTAACAGCAGTCACTCCTCAAGCTCCAGTCAGGCCATGTATTTGTTTCTCTTCACAAGCCACGGCACAAGGTCCATCGGATGTGGCAAACCTGTTACCCATTCCTCCCCCCGCGCCCCCCCCCCCCGGTACCAGGAATTGAACTCACGACCTTGCACTTGCCAGGCAGGCGCTGTGCCACTGAGCTAAATCCCCAGCCCCTATTACCCATTCCTAATACCAATTCAGATGGGTCTAAAAATCACCAATTGTGCAGCACTGCTACGTGAAAACAAGATGCCAGCATGTCCTATTTTTCTCAGCTGAGTGCCCTAAAGGAAGACCTCCCTTGACATCTGTCCCAACACCTAGCCCAATCCCTGTCTGAGCCAAAAGTGCTGAGTACACGTGTTATCACACAATAGCTGGTCCATTCTCAAGCCTGAAACATACCAAAATCATCTGTCTCCATGTCATCTTACTACACAAATAAATTAGACAAATTAAAACATTAAAAAAATACAACACATTATCCAGCTTCTAAATCTCTAGAGGACAGATATTTCCCCTTACAGGATTTAATTTAATATTAAATATCAAAACTGTTGTTTACCTTTCCACATAAGTAAATGATACTGGTGTCAGGATCATAGAAAGGTAGCAATACCCCGTTGCTTGTGTCCATTTCATGAAGAGCAATTGGTTCTTGCATATTTTTCTGAGAAAAAAAATATATGTACACATCTTAAAAGATAAATTTTTAACTTTATTATACATTTTGTAAAGAAGCGATCCATTTTCCCAGGATAATCTAAAATCTGAATAATGCACATATAGTCTTCATACATGAAAATACCAACAGGGATCAAACTGACTGAAAATGACGCTGATTTGACCACATAATGAATACACACACTTGTGTGATTCCATGACAAAAATGCTTTTCCTTTTCAATTTGCTTTTTCAAAAGTACCTTTTCTCACTATAGATATGTTCATTTAAAAAATTTAAAGACATAAAGCACATGAAAGTCAGCCCATCTGTAATCCCAGCACTCAGGAAGCTGAGGCAGAAGGATCACCATGAGTTCAAGGCCAGATTGGGCTACAGAGTGAGACCTTGTCTCAAAAAAAAAAAAGGAAAGTCAGCCCATACGCTGTAATCCCACAGTCTAGTGGGTGGCAGGCAGTATTAGCATTCTGATCTCACATGCCGGTGCTCTGTGGTATTTGGTCTTACCATACTTCAGTATGGTACACATACAAAGCTGGAACTGTACATCTATACAGCGGAGTTTTTTTTTTTTTTCCCACTTATGCTAGTTATAAACATTTCCCTAAGCAAGACTCTTTCGGATTTTTTAAAAAGGTTTTTTGAACAGTGTCTTTCTCTATACCTCAGGCTATCCTCGAACTCATGGCAATCCTCCTGCCTCAGCCTCCCAAGTGCTGGGATTACTGGCTTGTGCCACCATGCTCAGCTAGGACTATTCTGATTTAGACATTTGATCAGTATTTATGAGATAAAAGTTTATACCTTATTTTCCAAATTTAAAACACTGGATTCATTGTATATTCAAAAAAAAAAAAAAAATACAGTCAATGTAGACCACTTGGGAGTACCAAGAATATATTTGCCCGTAATTCTTCAGGGAGGCTGTGAACTTCACATCCAGTTTAAGACAGCAGGAGTTTGCAAGACTACACTAAGACTCCTAAAATCCACTACTAATCCAGCAGCCAGTTCAGAACAGAGAGAAAGCAAGCTCAAGTGAAAGCAAGCTGGAAGGAAAGCAGGGAAGGGCCTACCGGGTTCCAGAGCGCCAGCTGCCGCTCGCTCATGCGGCTGAAGCCAGTGGTGAAGACGTTGCCGTCTGCCAGGAAGATGGCCCGCATGGGCCGGGCCCCTTCATGTGCCTTCTCCTTCTCCTGGGAGAGTGAGAGCAAAGAGGCACATTGAACACATTCAAACTGCACAAAAGAAAGGCGGGTGGGGAAACCCAACACGGACCCCAGCTTCATCCCGTGTGCCGTCTGTGCTCTCCTATGCAGGCAGTCAGCGTCAAGCACCCCTCTTCCTTGCCACATGAGGAAACAAATCAACAGTAAGTGATTTGGTCAAGGGGTCCCTGGCTAACGAGCAAGCAAGAGCACCAGAACTGGACTCAAAATCCTCATTCTTACCAACACATCTGCTGCTAACCAAAGTCCATGCTCTGCAAATAGAATATACACAAGGACTCTACCAAGTGTTTTTTTCTCAACAGAGTTATAAAGAAGGTTAAAGGTTGGGTACAGCCTACAATTCCTACCAGTAATCTAGGACAGAGAAGCCTAGTCTAGTCAACCCCTTCCTTAACCTCATTCATTTATCAGAGTGCACTAACGTCCACCTTGGGAAATCCTCGGTGAAGAAAGACCGCACAGGGCCAGGTAAGCTGCCGGTGCTCAATGAGCACAAGCCATGATGCTCACCTGACCCTTTAGAAATAAGGCTGCTAAAGATCACACGCATCTCAGGAAGGCATCAGGGCACAGCTGAGTGAGGAATGACTAAAGACCTACCCCACCTTCGGCAGGGACATGTGATTTTGCTAAGGCCCAGCCAGTGTGGCAGAAACTAAGACACTGGGCCAAGGAAAGAACTGCTGCAGTTCTGTAAGGCACATCAGCGATCACCTGAGGAACAGCAGGGAACTTGTTCATCAACAGTCTGTACTAAGCCCCATGGTGAGGAATGTAGTCGGTTCAGCTAATCCAAACTTCTAAATTCTTTTTTTGGTACCAGGAATTGAACTCAGGACCTTGAGCTTGCCAGGCAAACTTCTAAATTCTTAAGGATGCTAGTGACTTGATAAAAACTATCTCTGTATTGCTTGCCAAGGCAGAAAGGAGACTTGAGTCAAGGCTGGAAATATATATAACTCCAGAAAGAAATGTGATGGGACAGTCAGCAGCCTGTCTACGCTTTTCTGTTCAGTTTGTCTCTATGCTCAGCAAGGGTCCACTGGCCAGAACAGCTGCCTACTTAAGAACAGTTCACAGGTACCAAAGAGCTACAGCCACTGGGAGAATACTCACAGCAACAATCTCTTGTTTCCTGGGATCTATCACTCTCACTTTCTTGTCTTTGGAAGCTGTGCAGATCAGACTGCCATTCCGGTTCCAGCTCACATTGTAAATCATGTCTGAATGCATGTCATCCAAGTTTATAAGGGCTTCACCCGTCCCCACATTCCAGATGATGATGGCATTATCACAGCCTGAAACAAGCAGAACCAACCCCCGCCAGCAATTAGAAACACCTGTGTGACAACAAGTCCAAGAAAACTGTGAACACCGCAAGGGCATTTGTAACTGCACAGAAAGGAAGGAGCTGATGATAAGGAGCTCTAGTACCTGGGAGACTGAGGTGACAAGAAGATCTGTATATAAGAAAAGTATGAAAAGGAAAACACAGCTTGCTAAGTTTGGGTTCATAAGAAACAAGCAAACAAAAACAAAGAACTACACTGAAATAGAATCTTATTTTTTTTCAGAGTCAGCTGGGCTGGTGGACCTGAGTCATTTCAAGTTTCCTTTTCTAGTAAATCAAGCATGAGAATAAATACAGCAGCTTATTTCTTTTCCAAAGAACTCCACTGGGTGGCAAACATTCAACTCAGTGATGCTGTGAGACATGGCCTCAGTATAGGAAAGCTGTACATCACAACGATGGGAGGGAATGCGAGGACTGACCCGCTGGCTCCCCACAGACCTTATTTTTAAATGGGGAGAACAATAGCCTCCGAGTGGCTTGATCATGGTGAGAAGGCCAAACTCCTCAGGCAGGCATGTAGATTCAGAAAACGGTGCCCAAAGAAGCCCATAACCCTTAGCCGATCACCTCCCCGCTTCCTTTCTTCAAGGCTCTGCCCTTTAAAGGGAAGCATCAGCCAGGAGCATGGGACACAGCTGTAATCTCAGCACTCCAGGAGGTTGAGGTGTGAGAATACCAAATTCAAGCCCAACTGGGGCAACTCAGCGAGACCCTATCTCAAAAAATGAAAAGGGGCTGGGATATAGTTCAGTGCAAAGGGTCTGGATTCAATCCCTGGTACTAGGGGCAAAACAAAAGGATCATATGTTGCTTTCAGGATATCAGTTCAAGGATAAGGCAAAATAAGGGAAAGATAATGGTGAATTTTTGCCAATAAAGCAATTTTCTAAGTGCTTTAGAAAAATTAGCCACTAATATATATGATATTGCACACAAGTTACCCAAGGGCAACTGCAGAACGTAACAGTACACAAAACTGCAGCTAAACTCAGGGGTAGAGAACTGACCCTCCCTTGGCCTTGCTCCTCACAGGCAAACAGGTAACTTCAGCTGCTGCAGGGAGATCGTATAGTCTTAGAATATGCAGCACACTTCAGTCCACTGCTCTCCTCTGCTTGTGAAAGAGAGAACAGGAGCCGCCTGCTGCTGATATCCTATGTGTAACCTAGATGAGGAGGGCAGCAGGAAATTTCCACAATGGAATTCCATCTCTGGAATTTTTTCCTTTTATCAGACAGATTCTGAGTAGATCAGAATTTCCAAATATAACTATATAGTTTTTCAATGGTTGTAAAAAACAGTATTCTATATAGTTTTGGAAAGTAGTCGATGATTTCAGTAGGTACCTGGCATTAACTTTTTATTTAACTCACCATAAATCAAACATTCTGCTTCTAGTTAAAAACTGACCTCCCTCTTTTTTACTGGTGAGGAATTAGACCTTTAAAAATTCTGCTAAGCCAAGTGTGGTGCCTCACGCCTGTAATCCCAGCACTCGGAAGGGAGGATCACTACAAGTTTGAAGCCAGCCTAGGCTACCCAGTAAGTTCAAGGCCAGCCTGAATTACATAGCAAGACTCTGCCTCAAAAAACAAAAGATAAACAAAAAGTCTACCATTAACATAGTATTAGAATAAGCCAATACAAAGATAGAACTTACTTAGGGCACACCCTAATGCAGTGGTGGCGAACCTATGGCATGCATGCTGCAGTGGGCACACAGAGCCCTCTGTTGGCACATGGGCCAAGTCATTCCCGAAGCTGAGCTCTGGGTAACAACTGTTTTTTTCTAAACTAAAACTTCAGTATTCAGGTTTAGTTGCAGTATTTGTAGTAAGTGGGTTTTGGGTTGCAGTTCAGGTACTTGGTCTCAAAAAGTGGTCTTTACTGAGGATTGAACCCAGGGCTTTTGCACTGAGCTCTATCCCCAGCTCTTTATTTTTTTACTTTGAGATAGGGTTTGCTAAGTTGCTCAGGTTGGGGTCAAATTTGTCCTAATGTATACCTAGGGTAAGTTTCAACAAATGAATGTAATCACGTAGCCACTGCCATAATCAAGACATAGAACACTTCTACCACTCCCAAAGCTCCTTACTGCCCTCTCTACTGCTTCTATGAAAGAAATAAAATCTCAAATCTTAGACACAGGAAAGATTTCTGTAAGATAATCTTGGAAAGTAATCAAGTGAGAAACTAGTAAGCACACTAAAACAGATACAAGCATTCCTTACAGTATTAATAGTGAATATCAGATACAACATCAATGTCCAGAAATAGGGGACTGACTAACTAAATTTATTGAGGTATCCAGACAATGGGCTACACCGGAGTCATTAAAAATATATCTAACAGTCACATTTAAAATGAGGAACATTTAATGGCACATAAGGATCATAGTGCACTACTAACTGCAAAAGGGAGGCCATATATAAAGTGTACAAAGCCATCTGTGTATTTTTGTACATGCACTTCACCATGGTTTCCTAGTGCTCTTTTCAGAACTACAACATTGGGGCCGGGGATATAGCTCCGCAGCACAAGTGCCTGCCTGGCAAGCGCAAGGTCCTGAGTTCGATCCCCAGTACAAACAGAAAAGGAACAGAACTACAACACTGTTGCTTAGGATGTAGCTCAATGGTAGAGCACTTGTGTGGAAGCCCTGGCTTTGATTCCCAGCATCACAAAAATGAACAAAGTTGCAGAACACACACTCAAAAGGCATTTGTTGTTCCCTTCCATAGGAAGGGCCCAGAGAAGCAAAAGCTAGGCACAAGGAGGGCCTCTGGAATTACCTGCACTCAGAAGTACGTTGCGTGCTGTCGGATGCCAGGCCACGATACCAACTCTCTTTGAATGGCCTTCTAAGATCACCACAGGTTCAGTCAGGGAAAGGGTGAGTCCATTTTCTGGAATCTGCCATACCTGTTGGAAAAGGAAGGAAGAGGATCCATATGAAACCTATTACTTTTCATTATCACATCTGCTGTGACCATCTAGTTTGAAGACTTGCGCTGCCTAATCAGAACATACAATGATGTTTAGTGAAAAGCCCTTCACATTTCATTATGAAATGGCTATACAGTAAGATGTGGCATGAAATCAAAGATCAGAGTATCAGTAAGGCACTAGGCATGGTGGTGTACATATGTAATCCCAGCACTGTGGGAGATTGGGCAGCAGGATCACAAGTTTGACCCCAAGCTGAGCAACTTAGCAAACCCTATCTCAAAAGAAGAAAGAAAGAGCTGGGGATAGAGCTCAGTGCAAAAGCCCTGGGTTCAATCCTCAGTAAAGACGCTTGACATTAGTGAAGATATGAATCAAAACCGCAAGATATCTTTCACATACCTAGGATAGACAGAAACAAAAAGACAGGTAACAAGAGCTGGCATGGATGAAAATAAATGAGAGCCTTCACACATAAAGTGTGAACAACACATAAAGTGTGAACAACACATAAAGTGTGAACAACCTCCACTGTTGGTGGGGCTGCTATATGGTGCGGCTATCTGGGGAATAGCCTGGCAGTTCCTCCAATGGTTAATCATGTAGTTACCGTACGACCCAGCAATGCTATTTCTACAGATACATCCATGAGGAATGAAAATGAATGTCACACAAAAATTTGCATAAGGGCCAGGTATGGTAGCATATGCCTGTAACCCTAGCACTCAGGAGGATGAAGCAGGAGGACTGCCATGAGTTTGAGGCCAGCTTCAACTACACAGTGAGTTCAAGGCCAGCCTGAACTGCATAGTGAGGCCCTATCTCAAAAATCAGAACAAAAATTTGCACAAAGAATGCTCACAGCAGTGTTATTTATAATAGCCAAGAGGTGAAAACAACCCAAGTGTCCATCTATGGAAGTGGCTAAATAAAATGACATGCTTGTACAGTGTAATATTATTGGGCCACAAAGAATGAAGCACTGGTACCTGCTACAACACAGATGAACCCTGAAAGTGGGCTAAGTAGAGGAAGTCAGATGCAAAAGGCTACACATTATAGGGCTCTATGTATGTAAAAATGTCTGGAATAGGGAAAAAATAGAGGGACAAGTGGTGGCTCACTGCTGGATAGCAGGGGAAGAGGTGATAGGTAGGGACATAAGGTTTCATTCATTCATTCACTCATTCTGGGCTTTTTCAGAGTCTCACTATGCAGTTCAGGCTGGCCTTGAGCTAGTGGCATCCTCCTGCCTCAGCCTCCCAGGTGCTAGGACTACAGGCATGTGCCACCATAGCTGACTTAGGGCTTCTTTTAGAAATGATAAAAATATTCAAAAATTGTGGGGATGGGGCCGTGGATATAGCTCAGAGGCACAAGTGCCTGCCTGGCAAGCTCAAGGTCCTGAGTTCAATTCCCAGTACCAAAGGAAAGAAAAAAATTGTGGGGATGGTTGTACTTACTGTGAATATCCTAAAAATCTGTGAATTGTTAATTTTAAATGGGTAGATTCTGCATGAACTACATCTCAGTAACACTGTTTTTAGAAAATGCTCTTGAGTGGTAAGGACACGCGGAGGAGTCACCACACCCTAACCGGGACCCACAGGGGAAGGAAGGGACAGAGACAGTATCCAGACAGAAGGAACAAGGGGTGTCGGCCTAATAATGGAAAATCACAATTTTAAAGGTTGAGAAGCAGACACCCCCTGAGAAGAAGACTGAGTTACAGGTGAGCTGAACAGCAGCAACCCTTCCCACCACATATTAAATAATATTTAAGTCTGTAAAAAGGCTGAGGTTGAAAATGATTAGCCTCTCATGTATGAGGATTAAAATAAGTAAATTTACCATCACCAAAGGATTTTAAAGGATTACTTCACAAAAAGTTTTAAACGTGCCAGTGAAAAATCCCTTCAACAGTGGAACAAGTAAGAAACAGAATTTCCCTCTGTGGGGATTTTTAAGGAAAGAAACAACTGTGTTCAACTGCTCAGTGGAGGGCAGAGCTCTGGACGAGGACAGTATTTAAAGTTCAGTTGTTCTAGTGTCCTGTGAAAAATGAGAACAAAAAGTCTGCAGTCTGAAGAGTGGGGAAAAACCATGAGTTGAGTGGTGAGCGTATTGTTCTATCAGGCTAAATACAACCTCTTATGGAAATCATGGCAAAATAAACTTGTCTTTTGAGGGCCCGAGTCTAGACTTCACCTGACTGCCCTGGAACCAGCACAGATTTTACACAATGCAGGTGTGAGCAAGCACGGAAGGCAAAAGGACAACTTCCCCGCCTCTGCTTCCCCCTCACCCAGACCCATTCCCTCCTGCCGCGCAGACTCTGAACCAGCCCCTCCCCCGAGTGGGCAGCTGCTTCCCCTTCAGCACAAGCATCTGCTTTCACCCTCACATGCACTGTTTTATTCAAGGGTTTACGATTGGCAAAACAGCCCTGAATTGAACTTGACGATTTAAATATAAAGCAGGATTGAAACTCTGAACAGAACAAATAGAAAACAATGGCTACTGATGTGATCAAAGCATGAGGTGGACAAGGAAACAGCTATGGAATGGGACTTCAGTGACTCAACAGGAAATGCATTTTGCAAGATGATTCTGACTCAGGCTTAGAACTGAAAGAGTGGTAATACCACCTGCCGTCTCCAGATGGCACCCTAACCACAGGATGCTGGGACTCTTTCAAGGACCACAAAAAACAGCTGCTTAAATTTGACTGGGGACTAAGTACGGTACTAAGCTTTCCAAATTCTCAAGCAGGTGTGAAGTGATGGAACTTTGTTATAATCAACCTTCCTGTCCTTAAATATGAGGACAGAAGCAGAACTCATAGTGGGACCTCACTTTTTCCTTTCTCTAGCTTCTCTTCTAGCCATTTATTACTTGAACTGATGGAAAATCTTAATGATAGAGCAAAACATTTATTATACAATTTTAGAATAACAACAAACTATTCCTTTTTATCATAGTCTCTGGATTTAATCATTTCCTCCAGTAGGTTTAGGAAGACACACATTCAGGTAGCACACTTATCGAGCAGCCACTATAAGGCAGGTTTGGCAGTGGGTGACTAAACAAAGACCCTGCTCTGGAGGAGTTAATGGTCTAACAGAAAGCAGAAGGCTTCCCTTCGATTGAAAAGTAAAGGCAGCAAATAGGAGTCGTGTGAACAGTTAAAGAGTAGACCCTGGACATAGGAGATCCCTGCTTCAAATCCTGCCTGGGCAACTTACTGTGATGATCCTGAAAGTAACTAAAACATAAGCCCCAGCTAAGTTGCTAAAAGGATTAAGTGAGTTAATAAAGCCCTAGAACACTGCTTTGCACCAAACAGCACTTCCAAATTGTAGACTAAGTATGCAGACCAAGCCTGTTAAGATGGGCTCTACCTAGACTGGCTACAAAGCCTGATTCTGCCACGTATTAGCAATGTAACCTTGGCACATTCATCTAACCTTTCTGGGCCTTAAATTTCCTCATCTACACAGTGGGGAGAATAATGAACGTGTCCTCAGTGGGGTGGCTGAGGATTAATGTGGTAACACAAATCTAACACACTTAGAACAGCTTGAGGCAGATACTCAGTATGCATTAGCTACTGTTGTTTCTTGTATTACTCATTAGGAGACCACAAAGTGTAAATAAACTAGATGAAGCCCATGTCAGGTGAGTGCTGAATGAAAATGCAAGTGTCACCAGTTACTTTCTTGCTGAGCAAGTGTGGTCCAGGCAGGTAGGCTCCATGAGGAGCAATGACCTCTAAGAATGAAAAGGAATTAAGGGACAGGAAAGAAGAAAATCAAAGAACCCATTTCAAAATAACAGCACAGATGAAAAAAACAATTTTCTAAAAAGTGTGTGCAGCCTCTAAACAATGCCTCAAAAAGGCTGGCCAAAGGGTCAGCAGGGAAAAGGCACCAGAGGCAAAAGATACCGCTGTAGGCTTGGAAACTGGAAGTGCACAAGGACGTGACTGGGGAAGTCTGTGAAACAAAAAAGAAAGACAGCAGAACCCTAGGGTCTGCTGGTAAATAAAGGTGGTGTTGTTCTCCACTGTGAACTATGGGAAAGAGCTGTCTTTCCACACTATGTACACACATCCTCTGGCTGGTGCCCACAGGCCTGTGTCCACTTGGCTCTCTGTCCTTGTTAGGACTGTATGCTACTTCTGGGTAATGGCCTGTCCATGTGGACTTAAGGGCCAGTGAAGAGCAGAAAGTGACACTTAGTACACATCTAGTTATATGCATAGTCTGGGACACTGGCCTGGGTGGCAGAAGATTCAAGCTCCTGTTAGAGCAGGGACATAATCAGCCATGCTAGCATGAAAAGGGACTGCACTTCTGGGATCCTCCACTACCTTGTCTGATACTGGGGGCTGCAACAACTGCCTTACTGGGAAGGTCAGATGAGCTAAACCATGTTGCACAATACTGCCCTAGTGGGAAATACTACCAACAGGAAGGAGCACAGGTTCTGGAGCAAGAAAAATCAGGTTGTGGATGTGCCCCTTATCAGCCATGTGACTCTTGACGGAACTGTCACTCTGTGAGCATTGTTTCTAAGTTATGATGGGCCATCCTCCTGCCTTTAACTGTGCCGCTGCAATGATTAAATACAAGCACACATATAAAGACATCGAACAATGCCTAGCAAAAGAAGCATCTATTCTGTGCTCATGATTACTCTTCTTGCTGTTACTATGACCACTATGACCCTGCATGTATTGTTAGGTCTGAACATCAGCAACTCTTAGAATGAGCCTTGTCTTCAAATTAATTCAGCACTGTGCTCAACTAATTAATACTAATTTACATCCAAGATATCCTATGTGTGAAAGCTCTAGTTTATACCTAGGCCAATTAGCACAGTGAGGACACTCTGCACAGTCCTGTGAGCCCTTCTCTTTTCTGTGGCTGTGGACTCATACTCTAATACCAATCAGCTTTCTGAAAAACATGCCA